CGGCGGAACGGCGGAAGGCGACGGGGGACGCGGCGGGATGGAGGGGCGCGGGGTCGGGAGCTCGGGAGGTGGGACATGGGACGCGTGATGCGGGGTTTTGGAACTCTGGACGCAGGGGTAGGGAGATGGGACACAGTCCCAGGAACGTAAGACACAGGCTGGGGACACTGGACACAGGGTTGGGGACACAGGACAAGACTGGAGACGTGGGACATAGTCTAGCACCTGGGGTGTGGCTTACAGGACACCAGGCCAGGGACACAAGGCACAGGGAAGGGGAGATGGGCACAGGGCACAAGGCTTGGGGACATGGGGCAGTCCCAGGGATACGGGACACAGGTCGGGGACACAAGTCAAGGCTGGGGAGATGGACGCAGTCCTGGGGACACAGGCCACACGGCTGGGGACATGGGGCACAGATCCAGGGACACGGCTGCATCACGGCTGTGGGGCAGAGGAGGGGACAGTGCTGGGGACACCGGATGCAGGACTGGGGGCAGTGGGGGGAGCAGTGGGGGCTGATCACCCAAACCAGCCCCACCTGGGGGGGTCAGTCCCTCCTCCCCCAGCCCCAGGATTGCATTTGGCCTCCTTGCTTAGGCTGGGCTTTAGCTGAGCCTGTGCTGGGCCTAGCACCCTGCTCCCTCTCATCCTAGAGCTTGGATTTGGGTTGTCCCAGCCCTGCATGTCCCCACAGATGGGGCTGTGGTCCCACAGGCTCTGCTCTGGAGCAGGGTGACTGAGACCCCTGGGGTGAGGCCCAGCAGCTGCGGCCAGAGCAGGTGCTGCCTGCGCACAATGCACGGAGACCGGAGGTGACGCCGAGGACATCCTGCTGATGGCACGGGGCTTGTTCCCAACGGGCATTTAAGGTCACAGCTCGCCTTTCTGCGCCTCAGCGGCCAAAACAGACCTGGGGGCAGCTGCCTGTGTGTCCTGCCGGCTGCCCCGGGGGACCCAGCCCAGCCACCGACGGGTTTGCAGCCTCCCCACAGCGGCAATTTACAGAGCAGAACCTCTCGTGCCGGGAGGGAGATGCAAGTGAGCTGTGCCAGCTGGATCTGGGGGAGCGGGAAGTGTCTGGCTACAAGGACAGGTGACCCCCAGAGGGAATCCAGAGTGGAGGAACTGTTCTAGTCACCCCAATCTGCTGGAGCCTCTTGCTTTTGGAGTGGATTGCCAGCAAGAGTCCTTTATCTTTGAGTGAGGGGAGAAGCTGGAGAGATGAGTGTTCCACTTCCACGGCCATCGCCACAAAAAGCTTTATCTGGACAGCGGATGGGACAATATTCCCAACCCTTATTTGGACTCGGCTTTGGGGAAGAGCTGCAGTTCGGCGCTGGAGCCCGGGTTGGAATCACAAACCAAAAAACTGGCAGGTTTGGATTTCTGGTAGCCACGAAACTGAACTTGGGGAGAAAATCTGATTGGCTCCAGGGGGTGCTGCACCACTTCCACGCCTTGAAACCCCTGGCCCCAACCCCACGTCCTACAGAATTTGGGGTTCCTCTGCAGTGGTTGCTGATCCTCTCCCCTCTCTCTTTCCTACAGGAATTTCTTCTGAGTCACTGATGTCTGTGCTGGGACACACCACCAGGCTGTATCACACAGGGATAGATGGGTGTGGTTGTGGACATCCCTGCAGAATCTGGGGGGCCAGCTAGGAAGCATGGCTCGCAGGGCTTCCCAAGGCTCCAGCTTGACGAGCAAGTGGAGGAGGTTCAGCTCCGTTCCGGGCCCTCTGGGAGGGAAGCCGAGCAGGAGCAGCCCTCGGGGGCAGGGACAGAGGGTGGCACGGGGTCCCTGGAGCCTTTCCCACCCCAGGACCCGCGTGGATCCGGGATGCAGGGCCGGGTCCCCCGAGCAGCGAGGGGGCACTTTGCCCTCTGGTGGCGGGAAGAGGGAAGCGTAGCGAGGTGGTACCGGGGCTGTCCCCGAGCTGTCCCCGGGGGTGACGCGGTGACACACCCGCCCCGACAGCTCTTGTGTGACCCGGGCACTGCCTCCCGCGGAGCTAAAGGGCCGCGGTCCCCTCGGGCAGCAGAACAGGTGACGTTTTATTCCCAAAACAAAGCACGAAGAATAGTTAGTGTGGGAGAAAGAACAGACCCAAACGTGGTCTGAGATTCCTGGTGGAAGATAAATAAAGGACACCAATAAGTAATAAATTGTTTGATGGAATGAGGATCACAGAGACCGGATACTTCCCGGAGTGTGTAGTGCTTCCCAGAACCAAATACCCGGCCAGGCACCGGGAGCAGCAGGCAGATGCTCAGCTCTTCACAGGGGTGGACGTGGCCTTCATGGTCTTCTTCAGGTGGTGGTAGTTGGGCAGGATCTTCATCAGGAAATCCAGCTGCAGCGTCTGGGGCTGGAAAGGGAGGCAGGGGAGGTGAGGCAGCAGCCTGAGGGGGACAGGGGCTGAGGGCATGTCCCCTGAGTCACACACCCACCTGTGGCCGCTCGGTCTGCACGCGCCGGAGGCAGTCAGCCCCGTATATGACGGTGTTTTCGGGGATCACCTCGTAGGTGTTGATGTTACAGCAGGCCCCGATGATGCAGCCGCTCGTCAGGATCACATTCCTGCCAACAAATGCTGCCAGAGAGAGAGGGAGAGAGAGGAATCCCTGCGAGAGTCATGCCCAGCAGCATCTACAGGAGCAAAATCTCACCAGGGCCAAAGATGACGGGCCGAGACTTACCTTTGGATTCGATGACGTTGTTGTCTCCCACCTTCATTGCTTGGGAATCTACAGGCGTGTGTTAAGTAAAACTGTAAAATGCTTGGCTTTTATTTCAGCAGGTAAAACCCTGATGCCATTTGCAAGCCAACACCCAGCACTGGGATGTCTGAACCAGGACAGAGCCCACACGTCCCTCCCCCTGTATCAGACCAGAAGTGCAGTGTATCTGTCACTCCACAGCAAGGATACAGCACCCAACCTCAAAAACATTGTTGGTGCCAATGACCATGGGTTTGGGCTCCACATCTTCTGTCTCTGGGGTAATATTTTCTGGATATCTGCCAGAAGGAAGAACACATTTCCTCGTCAGAGATCACAACTCTGCAATGTCCTGTTTGGCAGCTCAGTTTCCTCACAGACTGAAGCCATGTACATCCCACCCAATCCAGCTGGACTGTCAGAGTTTTGACACTGCTTAGGATTAGGATCCTTCTCCTCTGTCAGCCTGGAGAAGGATTCATAGTGAGGACTCAGCAACCTTCCAGTATCTGAGGTGGGCCTACAGGGAAGCTGGAGAGGAGCTCTCTGTCAGGAATTACAGTGACAGGACAAGGAGTATTGGATGGAAAGAGGGGAAATTTAGGTTAGATATAGGGAAGAAATTCTTTACTGTGAGAGTGGTGTGATACCAGAGCAGGTTGTCCAGTGCACTTGTGGCTGCCCCAGCCCTGGAATTGTTCAAGGCCAGGCTGGATAGGGCTTGGAGCAGCCTGGTCTACTGATAGTGCCTATGCCTAGTGCCTACGGCAGGCAGGAAGGAGATGATCTTTAGGGTCCCTTTTAGAAGGGGCTTAGCATTCAATAATTCTATGATTCTGTGACTTCTTCCCAAGCCATAGTGCCACAGGCATACACAAAACCATGAAAGTTTGGGATTTTTTTTTTTTTTTTTTTAATAAATGCTGCCTCCTCAGGGTTTTTAAGCCCAGCGACCCCCTGGTGAACCCCCGCCCGGTGCGGCACGGACCCGTTGATGATGAGCGCCTGCTCCTCGATCAGGTTCCCTTCCCCGATGACGATGGGCCCCGCCTCGGCGATGATGCGGGCCTTGGGGTGGATCACGGTCCTGGGCCCTGCGGGAACAGCGCCGCGTCAGCCCCGCACCCGGGGGAAAAAAAGGGTGAGCGGCACGGGCCGGGGGTGCGGGGGACACAGCCCCTTACCGATGGTCACGTCCCCGCGGATCTCGCTCTCCACGCACACCACGGCCCCCGGCGCGATCTTCACGCTGCGGGCAGGGACGGGGCGGTCACGGGCGAAGGGGGATCCGCCGAGGGGAGGGAGCGGCGGCGCGGGGAGGGGACGGCGCGTCCCGGGGCTGCTGTGCGGGGGGATCGGAGGGGGATCGGGGCGGGGGGGGGATCGGGGAAGGGGTCGGGACTCACCTTTTCTGCGCCTTCTCCGCCATGGCCGCTCCGGGCGCCTGCGCGGGGCGGGGCAGCGGGGGACGCGCGGGCGGGGCCGCCGCGGCTTTGTCACCGCCCGTGTCACCGCCCGTGTCACCGCCCGTGTCATCGCCTGTGTCACCGCCCGTGTCACCCGCTGTCCCCGTTAGCGCCCGCCCAGCGGCGGGGGCTCCGCACCCGCCCGGGACACAACAGAGCGAGCCGCCCCCGGGGTGCTGGGG